GAATAGCGGCTGTGGCGGTGGAAGTAATCCCGCGTATCCCTTTGAAGCCTGCCTGTACCGTCCTGTATTCCTGTAACTTGTACTCGTACGGTCGCGTCCGTGTGACTTGTCCCCGGCATATTAAACCTTCATCGTGTAACGATTCGGCCTACTTCGCTATTTAAGACCCCGCAACGGCATTCACTGCGGCCCTCGAGTGTTGGTTGAAAATTCTGATTCGTATTGCACGAACGGGTCTGCTTTCACAGCCCTCCCTCGAAATCATTTGTGGCTTGCCCGAGCCTCGCAAGATACGCATGCCTGGTCGGTCCGAAGGCCCTACGTAGCCGTGTGGGGCAGTGCAAATCTGCGAAACCTACTCCTTGGCCACAGTCCGAAACACTAAGGTCCAACAGTAGGGGGGAGCCCATCTCCCGAAGTCCCTCGATACCCATAAAGTTTTGCCATTGCGAAACAACAATGCACGTCTTAGGGGTTGAACCCAGACCCTTCAGGCAGGAAGGTGGAAGCTTTAGCCAACTGGCCTAGGTTTACCAACCATATCGGTGATTCCGAGGCTGGGCGCGCTGGTTCGGCGAAGCCAATGGCTCGAATTGGTGGCGTATTCTAAGCCACTTTATTAAGGGGCTTATAAAGTTAAGGGGTGTAAAGTGTAGATAAGATATAGCTCTGTGTCTCTGAGAGACCTCAAATTGTGATAGCCCATATGGGAAAATGGATATTCCATCTCCCTCCTAAGGTGAAAGTTCTAGGTTCGAGTCCTAGTATGGGCGTTTCCTTTTTGCTGCTGTTTACGCGGAGTGCATTCTTTGTCTTCGCGTGTTCAATTCTGTTTTGCCACTCTCTCTCTTCTTTCAACGCAATCAACCGCTCGGCAACAATAATGTCACTTAATCGACTGGTCAAAGATCATCAGGCAAAACAATCGACGCAAAAGCGGGAGACAGGTAAAGATAAAGGAGGACTGACTGTCGCTGCAGGAAGTTTTTACTGATTCCATTCATTTTGATTGTTCAAATCGCACGTAGAGCATCTGCGAAAAGAGGCAGTTCAAAGCGTAGGGGCGTTCTCGGATGCTGTGGCGGATACATTTAGTGGGCGGTAAGGATACGGTTGCAGGCGCAGAGGCAATATATTGTCCGCAGCTTTTAACCTTGCTTGAGCTGTGATATTTTTAGTGTATCGCAGATATTTGTCAATCAAAAGAACCTGGAGCAAGAGGCACGGAATTTGTCGTTGCAGACAGCGCGCTATGCAAAGCAGACGGCCCAGTGGCTGGCACTCGTTGAGCAGTTCGATTCTGCTTTGAAGGTATGGTATTTCAACGAGGTATATCAACAAGGCTGAGAATGATACACTGAAAGAAGTCTTCTACAGACCTGTTCTCTAAAATCTATTGGTATCGACCCGCCTGTAGGAGCTTGGAGACGTTCAGAACTGGGTGCAGGTCATACAGAAGGACATGGAGCAGGTGACGGTGTCGCTGGAAAGTTCTCGCCGCGACCCTGCCTAGGAGCGCCATAGTGGACTCCTCTCCGACCAGCGGCTGTGACTGTGTGACTGCACCAGTGGCTGCCGTTGAGTTTGTGGTTGTTATTTCTTTTTCTTTTTTTTTTCTCCCTCTTTGTTTAGTTTCTCTTAGTCCTCCCTCTCTCCATCAGAATCACCACCTCACGCACTACACCAACCCCAACACTTAGATCTACATAATGGTATGTCGACGAGCGACAGTGCATACCGCACTCTGCAATGGTTCTTTCTTGATGCGATGGAGCGAGGACGAAAAGGACGAATGCTAATCTTGTTTCTGTTCTCGATCTTTTTTCTTGTCACCGTCTCTGTAGGCTGAAGTTAACCCCAAAGCATGGCCTCTTGCTGATGCCGCTCTTACCAACTCTATCATGGATTTGGTCCAGCAAGCCTCGCACTACAAGCAGTTGAAGAAGGGAGCCAACGAGGTTACCAAGACGCTCAACCGTGGTATTGCCGAGTTCATCGTCATGACCGCCGACACTGAGCCTATTGAGATCTTGCTGCACTTGCCTCTCTTGTGCGAGGATAAGAACGTCCCCTACGTTTTCGTTCCCTCCAAGACAGCTTTGGGCCGTGCATGCGGTGTGTCCCGCCCCGTCATTGCTGCTTCAGTGACCTCGAACGAGGGTTCGGATCTTAAGGCCCAGATCCTGGCCATCAAGCTCCAGATCGAGAAGCTGTTGATCTAAGCGAGCAATCAAAGGACCGTCCGGTGCCCATTCGTTTTGTGTTCTCTTTCTCTTTCTACCTGTGCTGAAGATCTTTTTTATTTTCTACCTCTGTCTCTCTTATCATGTAATTGCCCCCCGGCAGTTACTTTTCTCTCTCTAATGATGCACACTGTTTTCTGCCCCTTCCCCATCCACAGTGTATCATAGTCTTTCCATTCCTTCACGGCATTTCACCTTTTGCATTCGATATCTTGGATATATCTTGGATATCTCTTCTTTTTTTCCTCCAAATTTCTCGGGATCTTGCCATACCTATCAGAAAGAAATAAAAAAGTGAAGAAGTTTTGAGAGAAAAGAAAAAGATAGAAAGGCGGAGTTGTTCACGCCAGTTGAAGCATGTATGCTGTGCAGGTGTGCGTCTTAACAGCTGTGGAGCAAGGAGTGTGCAGTAATATATAAGCCACATAAGCGGTAGCTCACGACCCCTGTCTTTGCTTTGTGCGCAAATTGCAGCGTCGCACCCTTCGTCTCTGCATCGCACTGTTCCTTCAACAACCGTCTTTCATCATCGTCTGTGCAGAGCAGACAGTCGAAACGAAGCAAACACTACACTCGCACGCTTCTCACTTCGTTCACTCTTTCTTTCATTCCTTCTGTCATACACACGCACTCTCCCGCACTCTCCCACCTTCGCTCAAAGAAAACACCGCTTATTCGCCGCTGCTCTCGGTATGTACCTGCCCGACGCCGTTGTCAGGAGCGATTGTCTTTGTTATAAATGAATGGCGCCAGGATTGACAGACCTCACATCGGTTCTCAGTTAGCTGTCATCACACAGATCACCCTGTACCTAACAACTACCCTTGTATTCGGAGCTAAATACCCGAGTTCAGGTATGTTGTGCTAGTCTCGAGCATTTGTTCCAGATGCGCCATGACATCCCCGGGATGACCGGGATCGCTGTAGCAACACGCGATCAAATGCGGAATGCGCGCATACTAATCACGCTTTTATTCAATGTGGCTCGTGTCATAGATCTATTGCATTGACCTTCTCACTCGTAGTACCTTAACGACGCCATGGCGGAGCAGGGACAGCGCCCACATAGCTACGGCAACCCTGCCGCATACCAGGGCCAGGGACACTCGCAGGACCTGCGGCGGTCATCGATTCAGAGCATGCTGAACCCATCCTCCCCAGACTCGGCTTCGCACGGATACTACCCGGGGCAGCATGGCGCTCATGCCTCGCCACACCACGTCCAGCATGCGCATACGCACCAGCAGCAGCAGCAGCAACAGCCTTACCTGCAAGCCATCAAGCAACCTCCATCACTTGCAGCAGCGCACCATCACCAACAGCAACAGCAACAGCAACAACAACAACAGCAACAAGCGTCGCACCACTCTGAACGATTCCATCCCGATGAGCGGCAGTATCCGGCACAGCCATACCACTATCAGCAACCATCGCACTCGCACCCACCTCAGCACCAACACTCACAGCAGCAGCCTCAGCCTTCATCTCAGCCGCACCATCATCACCACCACCAACCGTCGTCATCACATGTGTCACACCTTCACCAGCAAGCATCAACTGGACTCCAACAGCCGCAAGGCTACTATCCTTCTCAGCCTCCATCATCCTCATCAGCTTCCTCGAGCGGCTTGGTGTACTCTGGAAGCTCGAGTTCTCTACCACCCATGTCCGGCCAGTCGCAGTTCAGATCCTACAGCCAGTATCCCCCTGGATCGGGGACGCCAGAGTCCTCATTCCAGACACCTCCAGCACCTGCACACCAGATGTCGAGCTCTCAGGCCGCTCTCCACTCTCATCACCATCCGCAAGTGCAGCAACAGCAGCAGCCCTCTCGGCACGCTCAGCACGGCAGCATTGGAGGATCGGTGCCAGGGATTGCTCACGCTCATTCCAGTCATGGATCGCATGTGGTACACGCGGAGAGGATGCCAGCGCCTGTTGTCGCAGCTTCCGGGCCAGTGCCTCATGCGGGAGCTCCTAGACGTGCGAGTGGAGAGCCGGTAATGGACATGCGACTTCAGTCACCGCCAGCCAATGCTGCACACTATGGGCATGGTAGTTCTGGCCATCTCCCAGTGAGGGCATCGTCACCACCACCACGTCCAATTCCAGCCGAGTTTTCGAGGTCCAGGCAAACATCCCTATCGGGCCATGGATTTCATGGCGAGTACAGGACGCATGCGCCGGAGCCATCCTCGTCAGGATCGCATTACGACTACCCACCTCATTACCCAGGGACGTACCAAGAACCGCTGTACAGTGGGTCATCACATCATGGCGGGACACATCAACAGCAGCAGATGCAGCAACAGATGCAGCAACATCAGCAGCAACAGCAACAGCAGCAGCAGCAACAACAACAGCAACAGCAACAGCAACAAAAGCAACAGCAGCAGCAACAACAGCAACAACAGCAACAGCAGCAGCAGCAGCAACAACACCCACCCCATCATCAGCATCCTCAATATGCATCTCAATATTCTCGCCATTCAAGCCCTGGATACGCGAGGGCTACCCCTCTGGATACCGAGCACCCTCCATCGCACAGTATACCTCCTCAACAACATTACCACCAAAGCTATCCACCACAGTCATCCTCACCGCCGCAACACAACCAACCGCCAATCTTGTCTCCTCACAGAGGCTCAATACAGGACATTCACGCTGCAGGACCTCGGATAGCACCAGTACCCGCAAATCAGCGTCTACCACAGCATGGGCAGCATCACCATCCCCAGCAACATGACCGGCCAGTCCCAGAGAATGACGAAGCGATGGTCATGAACTTTATGTCTGAGCTCCAGATGCAGCAGCAGAGTCATGAACACAAAGCGTCACGGAAACAAGTCTCACGGCCATTGACATCGCCGCCACCACCGTCGGTGTCGTTGCAGCAACAGCATCATCAACAACAACAACAACAACATCAGCAGCCGTCGCCTCAATCACAGTCGCATCATCACCTCCTCCATCATCACCAAGAACAACAGCAACAACAGCAACAACAGCAACAACAACAACAACAACAACAACAACAACAACAACAGCAGCAACAGCAACAACAGTTGCAACAGCGGCAGCAGAAGCCTCTGTTGCCACCACAGCAGCAGATGCAGCCACCTCCCCCATCATTAAAACAACAGCAGCTGCCTCAACACCATCATATTCTTGCCGATCATGGCGCTCATCATCCGCTGGAGCCTCAGCAGCATGGAAGATACGCGCATAGCGACAGCCTCGGATACCAGCACCCACAAAATCCTCAATCGCCCATTTTCCGCCAGCCACCATCATTATCTCAGCCGGCCGCCCCACCAGCGGCAGAGTTGAGTCGAACGTTAACACCTCCAGGCCATGGCCATGCTGGCATGCACATGGCACTGCACGGCGCGCCTGCAGAGACACGCCAGCGTACCATGTCCAACTCGGCGATGAAGCCATCGTCGCCAGTGTCAGGTTCCAGCCCTTCGTATCCTGGCAAGCTGATGACGGATGTTCCACCCAAGAAGCTGTCTACGTCAGGAAGCCAG